TCAATGGTATGGTCAACTACGTTCTAGGTGTGCAATGGAATGATGAATTCCGCTTCAAGCTCATCACAGAAGAGTCCAAAGCTTCACAAGCCCACAGCCAAACTCAGTACATAACAGCATACACATTTTATCCCATGAAAGGTTCTGCAGTCCCCTTTGCATTTACAATAATCGACACTCCTGGTTTTGGTGGAACGGAAGGACTAGAAAGAGACAAGAAGATCACTGAACAGATAAAAGAGTTCTTCTCCATTGCCCCACCTGATGGTATAGATCATCTCGATTGCATTGGGTTTGTTGTCCCGTCTTCTCAGCCACGTCTTACTCCAACGCAGAAGTACATATTTGACTCAATACTGTCCATATTTGGAAACGACGTTGCCAAAAACATATTCATGATGATAACATTTGCAGATGGCCAGCGCCCTCCCGTTTTAGAGGCAATCAAAGAAGCTAACATCCCAGGCGGAGGTGAAAGGTTCTTTAAATTCAACAATTCAGCTCTTTTTGCAGAAAACAAAGACTCCGATTTCGATGAAATGTTTTGGAAAATGGGTCTCTCCTCGTTTAGGAAGTTCTTTGAAGAGTTCCCCAAGGTAGAAAGCGTCAGCCTGCGCCTTACTAAAGAAGTTTTACAAGAACGTGAAGAGCTCTACTGTTTAGTAGAAGGCCTAAATGGCCAAATTACTCTTGGCCTGAACAAGATTGAAGAGATACGACAGGAGGAAATCGTGCTCCAACAACGCGAGAAGGAGATTCAAACAAATAAAGATTTCACCTACAGCATTGATGTCACGAAACAAGTCTACACCAGCCTAGAAGGAACTGGCCAACACACCACCACTTGCATACCTTGTAACAAAACATGCCACAAGGACTGCATGATTCCTGATGATGACAGAAAGCAGAGATGTTGGGCCATGGATAAGTTGACGGGAGAATGCAGGATCTGCCCACGAAAATGCCACTGGTCAAAGCACAAGAATCGCCCATACCTGATCGAATATAAAACAGAAACTGAGACAAGAACAGTCGAGGACCTGAAAAAGAAATACCACAGAGCCGTGAAAGAAAAGGCCACTTCTGAAAAAATGATGAAATCGATAGAAGAATCTCTTCAGAAAGTGCACGAAGAAGTCCTCACCATGATCAAAAAAGCTCAACAAAGCCTTCGTCGCTTGGATGAGATTGCCCTCAAACCCAACCCTTTGACTCAAGTAGATTACCTGGAGATTCTAATCGAATCCGAGAAAGCAGAAGCCAAGTCTGGATGGAAACAACGTGTGAAATATCTTGAAGTCGCCAAAGGTCATGCCGAAACACTGTCTAAAGTAAAAGATGAGAAAGAAAGCCAAAATCTTATCAAAAAGTTGTCCAGAGATGTGGATGTCCAGGAAGAGGAAAAGACAAGGGATGCAATGGAGAAATCATCCCTCAGTGGAGAAAAATGGTACCATCGCTTCAAGTTTTGGTAACCAGTTTCGTCTTGACAAGTACGGTAACCTTGAGTTTGAAAAAGTTCCACTACTTTAACCAAGAAACAAGGATGAAACTTATTACTCTTTCCTAATTGTGCCCATTCATTTTTTTCTTGTGATAAAAAAATTTAAATCACACGTAGTTATGACTTGAATAGCATAAACAAGAGCGGCCTGAGGATTAATTTTCAGCAAATTCTTACCAGTTTAACGGTAAAATTTTCAGAAATCCAGGCTGCATTCTCTTTTGACTTCCACGTGAACCAAGCTTGTGTACGTCGGCATACATTGGGTTCTCTTTGATACAACTAAAAGAAACAACTTTGTGACCAATCTATAAAAACGTATCCTAAACTCCGGAGTGTTATATTGTTGATCAGATTTTCTTGGATAAGAAATCGAAACTCTCTGATAGAAAAGTTAATTACCAACTGAATGATGTGGCTTGCAGTAAGCCGAACTAACCCTAAGCAATGTATCTTAAGTGGATCAATCAATACTAAGGCAACAGTTTATTTAGGTGAGAGACCCTTAAAACCTGAGCGATAAATTTAACTTAGTATACATTTTTTTCCCTTTTTCGATTTGCATTTTTGAGGTGAATTTCAATTGTGGAGATAACTTCGATATTCTTTGATAAGATGTCAAAAATATCTGAACTGATATCCAAACACTATTTAGCATTTCATGTCATCAATCTTCTAGTTGAAGAACATATTGATAGATCCTTTTTTTAATGGGATTGATTAACGGGACTTTAAAAAATAGAAAAAATAAATTAGGAAATAAAAAACCCCAATTGTTTTACAATGTTAATTCGGACCAAAACAGGCTCGTGTAGCTTGCAGAATACAAATTCAAAATGCACGAGGTTACATGCATTGTTAAAAAACTGAATAGGGAAGGACATCCTGTGAGATATCTCATTTCTGATTTACTTGCTCAAGCTTTTAATTAGCTCTACTGCAACATACTTTAGGTTTTCTCGTGACTGCTTTTGATAGCTTGTGGTTTTTAAGCACTTTCTTGTCTTCCGCAAGCATTAGGCATTCGCCTGCGTTTTTAAAAATTCCGTTACCAAGTTAATTCTGAAAAATTAGCAGGTGAAACCGATGACTATTCTTTGAAGAGGCTACATGTATCATGTAGTGTGCTTGTGCACGATTCAGAGAATTACTAGTCAGTTTGCAAAACATAGCCTCCACTAGCTTGTTGTCTGTAATTTAGAAAAAGTGCAAAGGATAAATACTCAGAAATGTTAGCAACCATAGACTGATTCGTATACAATCTGAGCAGCATGTAGCAGTCTGCGACCTTTCCCCACACCAAGGCAGTTCGGAAAGCTGCAAAACTATAGAGTTGAAATTGGCACTCATAATCCCCACGATATCAGTGAACGCTTTTCATTCAGCTAATTTATTTTTGTTTTTCACGTTACCATGTTCCCTCCAATAGCGTTGATGTACATTTTGCTGCTTATAAAACCAGATTATCCGGTTTCAATCCGACCATTTTTAATTTTTGTTTTTAGTCCAGCAAATCATCTGTGGGACTTCCCACTTTTCAGCCGTCTAAAAAGAAAGACCTATGCCTTATCTATTACTTTAATCGGCACGTGTGAATGGCTATAACACGTCATAAAGATGCCGCATTTAAAAACTAAACTTTCTTCCGTTCAGAACAAAGTACTGTAATGGAACCTGTCTTAAGCACACATTTTAGAGCTCCCTGCTTGTGTCCGATAAAAACAAGATGTCTCAAGGCATATGTCTAAAGCAGGTTTTGGCGAATTGGGCAGTAAGGGCAAGCTCGATTCTTTGGGAGGTCACGGCGTAAATTTAAATATCATTGGCTACCTTGGTAACTATAGCAAGCCTGTTTGTTCTTGTGTGCGCTTAGTAAACAATTTCCCTTATCTGACAAGTGTAAGTTTTCTTAATATAGCATATCAGTCTCGATTCGGAGAAACATGCCCGCTAAGTTTTAACTGGAAATCAGCCATCGCTCACTATCTTATACGATTTTCAGTCAGGCTCGTGCTTCGCCACAGCTCAGATGGTGGGTGATCACCCAGAAGTGAGGGGGGTGGAGTGCCTAAAGTCCACTAGGCTTTCGCATGAAGACGGGTAATGACCGCCCTTAAGGTGGCCTGGCAAGTAAAATTGTAGGAAGGGGGAGGGGGGAGGGGGACCGTGGGAGGTTGATATAAAGGCTAAAATTGGAACGCAGTCCAAGGAATAGCCTATAGTTCAGGGATGGGTAGGGTAGGTCTTGGACTCTTCAGTAAACTGGTGTTTGCTTAGCGGTTGAGAGGGGCGTTTTAGCTTACTTCTGTCACGCGCTGTTTATCATGATTGGCATTCAGGCTTATAACCTGCCACAGCTCGGCCGGTGGGCTAAAACTCGACTTCTTGAGAGTCGTCAAAAGCACCCCGGGTAGAGAGAAGGAATCAATTGACATCGCAAACACCTGCCTGCTAGGCTTTCGCTCGATGGCGGGCACCACCCGGAAATGAACTCAAACATCTGATATGAGTTTTTGGAACTTTCAGAAAATCTTCGCAGATAGTAAAATTGACCGGAACGTTACCCACCCCCCCTTCCCCCCCATAGCCTTACAAAGTCTCTTTTCAAAGATCCGGCCTGTAAATAAATCGTGACGACAATTGCTTGGATCAGGGCTAGAGATGAAATTTAAACAGAGTACCTTTTTTTTTTTCAATACTGCATACTACCCTACCACATCAAAATTTCAACTCTAAGTGTTTCCATTCTCTGAGATAGTGAGGCAAATTAAGTAACTAACTGACCGTAAATGAGACGATCTATTTAAATGATAGCTTGATCCAAAAGAGGAAATATCCTATTAATTTCTTTTACGGTGAGGCAAAAATTCCATTTCTAAAGATGAACTTTGCTGGATAAAATGAACAAGTAAGTGGTGTTATTAAAGGTATATTCTAATCTAATAATTTTCCAATTAATTGGAAGTTTTTCGTGGTCACCAATAAAGCCAACGATATCTTATGTGAAATAAAAGAGCTACATCTAATCTTAGGACATAAAAAATTGATCGATAGCCATCAATCAGATCTGCATTCTTTTGAGCTTAGAAGATCCTAAGACTTTTTTAGTCTTCACTATTTGATGAAAATGTTCATGACTCACGATCCAGAAGTTGGTTTCGAAATAATATAGCAATTACTATCCAATCAAGTTATGCCTCGCTTCATTTGTTTTCAGAAAAATTATAGACTGTCGTTTTCCATGACTTTCATAATCACACACACACACACATTCCAGCGTTCGGAGATTTGAGTTTAGATTCCCTGACACTTTAGCTCTTAAACTACAGTTTAGCTAAACGTTCACTACGGTATATAATCAATTAGGTCTCCACACACTATAGAATCCGAGAATTGTGTCAGCACATCAGTCAAACGACTTAGTTGCAAATGATACCTCGAGCATCGTGCCAATAACGTTAAATATCTCCACCCAATTTGACTGACAGAGAAGTTGCTAAGATCTCCAGAACATAAATCGGGAATACCATTTCTCTCCTTTAGATGTCTCCTCTTTAATCAGCTCTTCAGCTGCTTTAGGATCTTTTACTTTGGACAGAATTTCAGCTTGACGCTTGGCTACTTCGTAGTATTGAACACGCTGCTTCCATCCCGGTTTGGCTTCATTCTTTTCGGACTCAATGAGGAGCTCCAGATACTCTGTCCTGGTCAGTGGGTTGGGTTTGAGGGCAATTTCATCCAGGCGCTGCAGGCTTTGCTGAGCTTTGAACATCATTGAGAGGACATTGTTATGCACTTCCGTAAGATCCCCTTCTAGTTTCTCAATCATGCCTTCTACTATGTTCTTCCCTGACTTAGCCACTTCGTACCTCTTTTTAAGATCTTCTGAGGTTCTCTTCTCAGTGACTGTTTCGTACTCAAAAATGTAGGGAAGATTCGAGTGTTCCTGCCAGTGGCAATGCTTTGTGCAGACTTTGCAGTAACCACTCCCGTCCATGGCGCAACATGATTTTTTGTCGTCGTCATTTGCATACGCACAATTAGTGTGACACGTAAAGTTGCAGCGGCGACATGTGGTTGTGTGCTGACCTGTCCCCCTTAGGTCTTTCTTTTTCGCTTTCGTTACTTTAACTGAGTATGTGAAGGATTTGTTCTGCTCGATCTCCGTTTCACGCTGTTTCAAGATATTCTCCTCCTGTCGCATTTCTTCAATTTTGCTAAGACCCTGGTTGATCTGCGGGGTCAGCCCTTCAACCATGTTTTGCAGCTGTTCGCGTTCCTTTAGCACCTCTTGAGTGAGTTGGAGGCTGACGCTTCGCGATTTTTCGAAATCATGGAAGAATTTTTTGAAAGAACGAGCCCCCATCTTCCAAAAAATTTTGTCGAAACGATCATCTTCATCTTCTTCGTCTTCGTTTTTCTGGGTAGTTTCGGTATTATCTGCAAAAATGGCTGAGTTGTTAAATTTATGAAACTTCTTAGCTGGGATCTTGGCTTTCTTTATTGCTTCCATCACTGGGGGTGTTTGACCATCTGCAAACGTAATCAGGATGAAAATGTTTTCAGCCATATCTTTGCCAAATATGGACAGTATGGATGTGAAGATGTACTCTTGTGTGGGGGTAAGGCGGGCCAAGGAAGCTTGAGTGACAAAACCAATGCCATCAATATGATCAATACCATTTGGAGGAGGAATTGAAAAAAACTCTTTGATCTGATCGGTGATTTCTTGGTCTCTCTTGAGTCCCTCTGTGTCTCCAAAGCCTGGTGTATCGATAATGGTGAACGTGTAAGGAACAGCGGAACCCTTCATCGGGTGAAACGTGTAGGCTGTGATTTCTTTTGTCTGGCTGTGAGCTTGTGACACCTTGCTATCTTCTACGACGAGTTTGTAACGGAATTTATCTTCCCACTTTATGCCCAGTATGTAGTTGACCATGCCGTTGATAAGCGTTGTCTTTCCGGCTCCCGTTGCGCCAACCACCATAAGCACTTTTTCAGTTGTTCGACCCTCCAGATCACTAGGGCTGCCGATGCTCTTCTTGATAATCTTTCCCTTTTCCCTCCTCAGTTTTAGTTCGGCTGAGAGCTTGTAAACTACGGGGGACCCGGTTGATAGTATTTGCGATTCTCGCAGCAAGCTTTCAGCTAAGCGGGGTGGGCGATCTTCCTCATCCTTGGTAACTTTCTCATTTTGACCCACAAGTGGATCCATCGTTGTCAAATTTGACAATCTGGGCCTAAAAGCAATGATAATAAAAACAATAATGTACAGCAAGAAACTGAAATAGCTGAATATATAGACATATTCAGAATTTCCGAGTGTTGCTGCGCCGTATTGCCACAGAGTGGTCAACAGTTCAAAGGTAGTTCTCTAACGCATGGCCTGGAAATGTAACATTGATCTCAATTTCGATGGTCAACGTATCCGAATTTGATCGCTTCCTGTGCGCTTGAGTTTTTAATTCTCGGAAAGCGAAATTTCATTTTCAAGGACACTTTCGATACTTTAGAAAGCTTTCTTGAGCACAGCTGTAGAAGAAGTCAATAATATGTCGTTCGCCTAAGGAATTCAGATACTGAATGGTAAGGAAGCAATAAGATTGTGTGATAAAATGGAGAAAACAAATGGGGGCTGTTTTGGCAGTGTTTCGGCATTTCAGCACTTCTCGGAACGTGTGAAATTCACTGCGTATAGCTTTTCTTTTGGTCAAATTTATCTGAGCGTGGAAGTAATGATAACAACAACAATGATGTACAGCAGGAAAGTGACACAACGTATTATCCAGTTCTTCCGTCCTTTCTACAATCCTCAAAATCTAGTATTTGTTTTCAATTGATTTCAACGAGTATTCTCCTTAATCAGCATTTTAATATGTGTAATATTTTCGAAAGAAAGGATCCATAATGTATGTGAATATTTAAGAATAACAAAGTAACCAACAGAGTGCCAGACGATCGAATATGCTGTGCCGTTGCACATAAAGCTTAAGGCTTGTCAGTTTATACCGATGTCAAACATTGACAGTATTCAAATTCTACATCGAATCGCACGTTTCTAAGAAATGCAGCTTGCACTTGAACCGTGGTGCCTCACTCTAATGGATTGATACAATAAAGAGAGAAAACATTAGCTATTTCCTCTACCCATTCAAGATCTTTCTAACTAACAAAAATGAAGGCTTGCAATGTATCACAGGTTCTAAGTGCTATCGCCTTCACGAAAAAATTCTATCAACAACGGTGTTACTTAACTAAAACATATCAATTTCTGAAATTGTTCGCAACTAAATTTTGATGAAAGGTTTAGAATTTTTCAGTTTTCAATATGCGTGTCCTTAATGCCACATAATATTTCGACGTATGAGAGTAACAAATTTATGGTCTTGAAACATAACACTGAACTCAATTTGTTGTTAATTCTTGGAAAGAAAATTTGCCTTTTCAAGGAATCATTCGCTAATTTAAAAAGATTTATTGAGCACAGCTACAGAAGAGGTATATAATATGCCGTTTACTTAAGAACTGCGGTTACTTAATGGCAAGTGATAAAAGTTGCGAAAAAATCAAAAGCACGCGGGGACCATTATGGCAGTGTTTCTGCTGAGTAAATCCATTTCGGATCATGTAAAGTTCCCTGCATAGTTGTTCTTGTGTACAGTTTTATCTGAGCCTCGAAGCAATATTAATGATAACAACAACAACAATTATGTGCTTGTGAAACTATTGAATATTAGCACAGATAACGTCAGCATTGAAAGGATTATCATCAACGATCCCTCCAAGTTGAAGATCAAAGACATTGAAAAGTTTGCAAGTCATTCGTACCTGAAAATCTCAGTTTTCGTCGATGGCGATTGAATTCCTTGAGTTTGACGATAGTCTTGTAAGAATAGCAACTAAAAACGTTTCTCTTTCCTCCCGTGTCAGATGACAGAGAAAGGAAAAGTACATTAAGAGCAGCGACCTTTGTATACTTGAGGATAGTCTAAACAGCAAAGTATTGTCTATTTGTCAACGGTGGGGAGTTGATTGGTGGAGAAAGGAAAAAGATATCTCCTATTTTTAACTTGCAGACTCACAACCACGTAACAATCACGTGAAGATACACCAGAGATCCAATCACCGACGCCAGCGTAAACATTAGACCACCTGGACTAATGGACCCGATTGAAATAACGTGAAGAGTCACAGAATTCAAAGGTTAAGTATAAGCTTCCTATATTTCTGAGAAATTTTATATTCCCAGATCATTAACAGCAACAATCAAAAATGATTCTATTTGTTCGTTTGTTAAAATTAGTAACTCGATCTAGACATATCACGACAATAAAGTAGATATCATGACATTACAATGAGCAAGTCTGGAAATAAGAGCCAACCTTAGACGATGAAACCTTCCTAGCAATGATGGATCACCTTCACCTCAGGAAAGTAAAGTATGAAAATTTAATGTTGAAAAACCTCATATGATTTCAATAAATATGAAAGAGTTATGAGCAGAAAAGCAGACTGGATTACGCTAGTTGGTCTTTAACATGATAACTTCCTTAGTATGTTGTATTCTATGCGGAAAATTAAAAAATCGTGCTAACAGTTTCAAGTTAGTGTTTGAACGTCTAAAAATTACAAACATATGGAAAGTGCACCATTCCGCTCACAAAGTTAGAGACAGAGGACCAGAAGTCAGTTGGTTGGGTTGAGTGAGCGTTTCTGTAAACAAAGAGGGAATCAAATGGCGAGAACAAATCCCTTTGTGGATCATTGCACCTAGTTTTTAAAAGTCCTAATGGTCACCAGCCCCAAAAAGTTATATTCAATCAAGATCGAGATATCAATAGTTTTGAAATACAGACAGTAATGATTCCGGGAAACGAAACAAAAATAAGTGGAGTTTCGGGCCTTGAGATAGACGGATCCAATCCGGAACGAGGTTAGTTAGGTGAAGAGATGCCAATCGTCAGAAACTGATGGAAATGTATCTAGCAAGCCATTGTTTTCACAGAAGCCCTCTGTAGTTCAATTTCAGACGTTGAAGGCCGATATAAATGGTAGCGTATTTTACGTTTATTTGTCCCTAAGCAGAAAAGTCAACAAAAGCCATAAGAAGTCTAAGTAAAGAAGTGATGTCCCAACGGGAAAGTAAGATCGAAAGCTTTAGGGATGTTTGCCAATTCGAGAAAAATGATATATAATGGATAAGTTCCCTACGTACCAATCATCAGCAGCAACGTCAATTTTCCTACGTGTACCCTGGTGAAATTAAATCTGATAAATCTTTACCGTAAGGTCTCAAAATATATTATTGGCCTTAATTTTCAATCTCAGGCTGTCCGAATTTGATCGCTTCCTGTTTTATTGATTTTTTTTTCTCGGAAACTAAATTTAGCCTTCAAGGATAGTAAACAAAGGTGTTACTTGTCTAAAGCATATCAATTTCTGAAATTGTTCGCAACCAACATTGAGCAAATCTCGAAAATACCGAAGGAATCCTCACAAAAATTATTATTTTGATGAAATGTTTAATATTTCCTAGTGTTTAATTTGCATGTTCTTAATGCCACATAATAATTCGACGTATGAGAATAACAAATGTTTGGTCTTGAAACATAACACTCAATTCAATTTGGTGTTAATTCTCGGAAAGAAAATTTGGAAAAGGAAACATTTGCTCATTAAAAAAGCTTTATTGAGCATAGCTACAGAGGTACTATATGCCGTTTACTTAAGAACTGCGATAACTTAATGAGGACCATTATAGCAGTGTTTCTGCTGAGTAAATCCATTTCGGATCATGTAAAGTTCCCTGCATAGTTGTTCTTGTGTACAGTTTTATCTGAGCCTCGAAGCAATATTAATGATAACAACAACAATTATGTGCTTGTGAAACTAAAACCGCTTCTTATTCGGTATCTATGATCTTTCTAAACTTCTTAAAAGTAAAGCATTTGTTTTCCATTTCCTTTCCAGATGTTTCCGTATGAAATGGTTTGTCTTCGACTTCATTTTCGTATACAATTGTAGATGACGCGCGACCTATCTCGACTTCAAACGTCTGCTGGAATTTCGCAATCAAAAATCGAACAGAAAATTTTGCAATTAATCAGCGAATTTCCATGGCCGTTTAACAAAAATGATATTTAGTCTACAACTTACATCATAGATACTAAATACCATGGCCTTTAGAAAATAATTCGTATTCCAAATTTAATAAAACACGAATATCCTTAAGCAATCTTCACTTTAAATTAGATTTTCATAATTTGAATGACATAGTATATATGTCCGAAGACATAGTTTCTGCACTTCAATTCCACATAATGGTCAACAGTTTCAAATTAGTGTTTAAACGTCATGAAATGACGAACATATGGAAAGTGCGCAGCTCCGCTCGCGAAACGCAACTCTACTTTCCTTCTGATTCAATGGCTAGCCCCTAATACTTCCAGTATGTTTCGTAGAAAGAGATACAGCATATTGAATACTAGCACAGATACCAACAGCATTGTTCAAAAACAGGATATTGAATATTAGCATAGATAACGTCAGCATTGCTCAATAACATGATAAGAAAAACGATTTTACTTCACTGAAGTCGGCTTGAAATAACTGCAATCAACAATCGCTTCAAGTTTAAATTCAAAGGCATTGAAAAGTTTGCTTCTCATTCTTACCTGAAAATCTCAGTTTTCTTTGATAGCGATTGAATTCCTTGAGTTTGTCTATAGTCAGTTAAGAATAGCAACTGAAAGCGTTTCTCTTTTCTCCCGCGTCAGATGACATAGAAAGGAAAAGCACATCAGGGGCAGCGACTTTGTAGGCTTGAGGATAGTCTACCATTGGTTCAAAGACAATACTTCGCCCTTTAGGGATTTGATTGGTGAGAATAAACAGATATCCACTATTGTTAATTTGTAAACTCACAACCACGCAACATTCACGTGAAGATACACCAGAGATCCAATCACCGACGACAGCGTAAACATTAGACCACCTGGACTAATCGACCCGAGTGAAATGACGTGAAGGATCACGGAATTCCAAGGTTAAGTATAAGCTTCATATATTTCTGAGAAATTGTATGTTTCCAGGGTGTAAACAACAACAATCAAGACTGATTCTGTGTTTCCGTTTGTTCAAATTAGTAAATCGACCTAAATCTATCGTGACAGTAAGTTAAATATCATGACATCACGATGTTACATCACGTCTAAA